TGTTTGCTATTATCCATGGTTTTCAGTATCCATGGGGGACTTGAAACCAATCCTCAGCAGATATAGGGGTCCTACTATATCTATAAGTTGCATTGTAACAGGCTGGAAGCTAAGTAATTCTCCAGCTCCTGGCCCATTACAACATTACTGCTGGATAAGCAGGTGCCAGGGGAAACAGTGGGGCAAGCTCATAAATAACTACAACAGTGGGAGAGAGTCTGGCCCTCTTCTGAGAACCCCAGAAGGCTTTGGTTGGTTCCTGTGGGAAGCAAAATGCTTAACTCAATGGGCTTTGGGTCTAATCCAACAGAACATTTGCTATGTGTCCACTGTTTCTGCAACACTGCCGTTCATTTACTTACCTATTTACTTCCAACAGAGTACTGTATATGGCATTCCGCAATTCAAAAATCATTGGAGTGGTTCCCTGATCCATAATTAAAGGGAGCATAAAATAAAATGAGAAAACAGTAAAGTAGTGATTACCGGTTTGCTGTCAAATGCCAGCTCAATCTTGGTCAGACCCAGACTGGATAAAATGAAATGCTCTCTGTGAGTATCAAACAATGGTTTGACTGTATGAGGCAGCCGTGCCCAGTGACTTCAACATCAGGGATGCTGTGACTTCACTCCGTGTTTTAGCTTGAACTTTACAAGAATTATACAAAATGATGAAACTATATTGGAGAGAGATCCAGCACGCAGATAGCTCCTATACATGTGCAGACCAAAATCTGGAGTGGGTTCACGGCCACACCTATGTACTGTACTACCAACTAGAAACACCAGCCACTATTACTCAGAAGAGCTTCCATGTGACAGTGGCAGTAAATGAGTCAGTGTATGCCATAAGGAAAACACCATGGCCTTTAAGAGACACTGTCAGTCTTTTGTTAAAGTCTCTGGTCAGTTTGCCATTCACAAAGATCAACAAGAAAAAAAAAATAAACCACAGGATTGTTGTGCGTAGTTTTGTTTGCTTGCACAGGCCCTTACAAAAACTTCCTCTCTATTCACTATTCACTATGCCATGACGCAGATTTATCTGCCTTACAACCAACTGTTCTGTGTTTTATGACAACTGTATCTTATAATAAGTTTCCTTCCTTGCAATTTTTGCAAATTCCTGTTCCTGCCTCCAAAGGGGGAGGCAGCTAGACACTGTTACAGATTTTTGAATTTTGGGCAGATTTCTCTAGCTGCACAGTAGAAGTCCAGGGATTCACAGAGCAGAAGAGCTTCAAGTTCTCCAGAGCAGTCCACTCCTTTTCTCATTAATTGGCACTTACAGTCTCAATAACTCATTCTGAGACATTTGTAGGAGAAACAATAAAATCTTTAGTTATTTCCAGATGTGAACATAACAACAGCAAACAGCTTTCAGCAACAGACTTCAAGAGCCTCTATAGAGAGGGAAAGAGACACTCAGCAGAGAGGCGGAGCTCATGTTGAATTCAGAAAGACCCCAAGTTGCAGAGGAGAGTCATTCGGGGTTAAAGAAGTAGCCCAGTCAGATCTCATGTACAAGGAACGAGATCTTTCTGCTCAGCATCCTACAATGCCCCGCAACAGTCTAAGACCATCTTTGCTATCCTGCATTGAGTCAGGCACCTTGGCCAGAGTGATAGACAACTGAGGTAGTGATGAGAGGATGGGTGGGGAAGAGCATAACTGAGGACACAACCCTATCCAACCCTTTCTTGTCTCTCAGGGAAGGGTCCTTTTCCCAGTGTTGGTTGGTTGTTTTGTCTTTGGCTGTATCCCTTGGATCTCCCAAGGAGACATACATAACAAGAAATACATAGTTCAAGCATAATTCCCTCATTGTGCATAAACAGATACCAATGCATGAAGGAGGTTGATTGTAAATAAATAATCAAGAAATAGGAAGGAAAATACTAAGAAAAACACAAGAGTGCTAGAGTCTGAACCCTTCTAGTTGTGCACACAGTTAACTCAAACACTTAATACTCTTAAGATGAACCAACATTAAAAACAAAACCCTTCTCTGACACCCAGTAACCAGCTCTTCCGGGTGCTCCTTGCAGACTGTGTGAGCAAGCTATTTCAACACACATGCACTTTTTGTTCTTGATGATGCCAAAAGAAAGCTGCATGCCTTTGCTTCCTGAATACAAACTACAGTGGCCACCTAGCTTCACCGCTGCTTGTTTTTAAAAGACAGGCATCGAAGACGGCCAGCTCTTGCAAATGTATGGATGTGAGCGAGGGCTTGTTTCAGTTGGATTTTTATAAGACGTCTCCAAAAATTGTATTTCAAATGCATAGAACTTGGAAGTAAAAACAACTGAACAAGGAAGAAAGCAAAACTTATGGATTTATCCATTCAGGCTCATGGCTATGAGTGTGTCACTTAAAACTCTGGATTTGAATCCCTGCATCTTCAGTCATGTCGATGCTGCTGAATCATGGTTATCCCCTCTTTCTTTGGAGAGGTTCCTCATCTTTAACATATGTTTGGCAAGGAGATCCACAGAAGGACGTCCATGCTGGTAGAAGCTGTAGCTGTTGAATTTAAGCAGTACATATGGTAAACATTTCTTTGTTGAGGAATTTTTTAAAAAAAAGGCAAATCGCATGCAGTAGAACCCCTGTATCGGGGGGGGGATAGGTTCCAAGCCTCCCCCCCATGGATGCTGCAAACAACGGATAATAGTGAACCCTATATACAGCATGCTCTCTGAATCCCTCTAGTGCCCAGTTTTTGTAATTCCATCATGGAAATATGTATTTTTTAAAAAATATATATTTATATATTTTTAGACCACGGGTAAATGAAACCGCAGATACTGATCCCGTGGATACAGGGGTCCTACTGTGTTTGGGATGGAAAGAACTTGAGTTTTTTATCTGTTTGTTTGTTTAAAACATATGCATAATTTCCTGGAAATGAGCCCCAGTGTATCACAGCTGACACAGCAGGACTTGAATCAAGTGTGACCCTCTGCACCTTTTTTGTGTTTGGATGCAAATTCTTGGCAAATATGCGTATTATGATGAATTAGTCAATGGCCCAAATCATACTATTTTATGTGCAAAAGGTGTACGTGACATTGCAAATCGCTAACTGCCTGTGTTTTTCATGACTGATGCATGACGTGGAGTACAAATCATAACTAGTAGCAATTCATCATCGTGGTTAATTTTTTTCACAAAAAGAGTAAAATGCAAAGTGTGCTGCTTCTATACTGCCCTATAGTGCTTCAAGCGCTCTCTGGGCAGTTTACAAGTTCATTATGCAGGCTTCACATATACTGTACAACAATATAAGAGTTGTAGGATTCTGGCTAGTATATATTGTTTATTTTGTATTCCTTTCAAAAAAATATATTCAGGACTGCTTGAATAGTGGGAGCCAATAAGCTAAAGCAAAACAACTAAATGCACACACCATTGTTCTGTTACTTCTTCTCTGTGCTTTATTGGTAGGCAGATGGGAGTCTACCTTATGCGTGTATTTAAGCCATTTGAGCCATCTAACTTCTTAATGGGTATGGAATGAGTACAGAGTGATAGCAGCTTCCTACTGGGACTGGCAGCAGCTCCCTATGGTTTCCAAAAGGGTTTTGTTTCATTTTCTTTGTTTTGTTTTAACCTTTCTACTTGGAGACAACCCAGAGATGGAATTAAGTACTTTCTGGATGCGAAGTGCTTGCTCTGTCACCGAGCTACAGCCCTTCCCCAGGGATATACTGGCTGAGTTATAATTCTGAATCATTTTTATTATTCGGAATTGCATCACCTTTAAATAAATAAATAAAAAATAAAGAAATAATGATGATGACGACGACGACAATTAATAATAATAATATAAGATAGCTCTGAGCCATATTAGTCAAAAGACATTGTCTGGCTATTCCTCTCTTTTTTTGTCCAGGATGGAATTTCTGTGGAAATGGGCAGAAGAACATGGGAGGATAAAGAGTAGAAGATGGAAATGCCTGAGCCCCTCCCCAAAATTATACAAATATGGCTTGGCAATGGTGCATAAAACTCATGTGTTGAAACACTTGTGAGAAAGGCAGGGTATAAATGCTAAAAAGAAAATCCATATGCATGGTCTTTTTTAAAAGAAAGATGAGTGGGTATTTCAAAATTTAGGATCAAACATGTATAAACGAAACACACATTTGTATTGTGTGCATTAATGTTGTTGTTGTTATTTGCCATCATGTTACCTCTGACTTAAAGCAACCCTATGAATGAGCAGTCTGCAAAATGCTCTGTCCTCAGCAATTGCAATCTGAAGCCTGTGGTTTCCTTTAGGGTGCCAGTCCATCCTGCAGTGGGTCTTCCCCTTTTCCTGCTACCTTCAACTTTTCCGCACATTATTGCCTTCAGCAAATTTTGTCTTCTCACAATGTGCCCAAAGTAGGCTCCTACTTCAGCATCCAGAGGATACTTTCAGGTTTGATTTGCTCTACGATCCACTTGTTCGTCTTTCTGGCAGTCTGGGTCATCCACAAAGCTCACCTCAAGCACTATATCTCAATGAATCATATATTTTTCCTATCAGCTTTCTTAATGCAGTCCTTTCATTAATGCAATGCTCTCCGTTCCTTGAGTTCTTTAATTATTTCTTGTACATGTTTTTACAGTTTCTTTGCTTCCTCACCTCACACAGTAACTGCTGAATTTTTAATTTTTTTTTTTTAAGTTACTGCTGGGACCATTAGATGCTGGCTCATCATATGCAAAGCAGGGTTACTAATGTTAGGTCTTTCCTACAAAGGCTGGCTGAAACCACTTGCTACTTTCAAAATGGGAAGTTTCGGACAAAAGGCAAAGAACAGGTTCCTCTTGTAACTATTCCTCCTCCAGCAAGCTTACGAGAACCCACAGCTTTGACAGCCATGGTAAGTACAGGATTTTATCTTTCTCTACCATCAGTTTCACGGAAATAAGACACGAACACCAAGAAAACAATGAGGCAGAGGGCACTTTCTTAGTAATTGTGCTAGGGTGACACATGCTTGGATTTCAGTTCTGTGCCTTTGAAAAAACACAGCTGCGTAGTGTGCTATACAAACCTTTTTTTTTCCTTTTTCTTTTTTTGCCCTGCCAGCCAACTAGGCGCATTGCCGTGGGCAACCTATTGATGGAAATGCCACGTTGTCTGGCCGCCTAGGTACTTGTTCAGTATTGGAGCGGAGCCAGAATTTACAGGGCCACAGCAATAGCATTTTTTGATTCACGGGAATGAAAATGAAGCAAAAGTGTGCTGCTTATATATCGTATTTTTCGCACCATAAGACGCACTCCCCCCCCACTAAACATGGGGGTCGAAAGTCTGTGCGTCTAATGGAGCGAAGAAAACAGATTATATTTTCCTGTTTTCTTCTCCTAAAAAATTGGTGCATCTTATGGAAAGGTGCGTCTTATGGAGCGAAAAATACGGTACCACCCCAGAGTGCTTGAAAGCACTCTCTGGGCAGTTTTATAATTTAATTCTGCAGACTATGTGTTGCAAACCCCACTCCCTGAGAAAGCTGAGTATTCAGTTTGCTGACCTCAGAAAGATGGAAGGCTGAGTCAACCTTGATCTGGCCACCTGAGTCCGTGGTGATTGTACTCAGGTCGTGAGCAAAGGCTGGACTGCAGTACTGCAGTTTAACTATTGTGCTCTCTGGGGACATGAGGATATTTTTACCATGTTTACAAGGCTGCTTAACACTCCTGGAGCAATTCAAGAGTTACAATCCCCTCCACACTGAAGACAAATACAATCTGTACCCTGTACAGCTCCCTGATTTTGCTGCTTCCATGACTGCCTCTTTGCCTCGGCCTGCTGGACAAGGGTCTCTTCAAATTGGGAGAGGCCATGATGCACCGCCTGCCTCCAGGCTGAACGCTCAGATGTCAGGGTTTCCCATCTGTTGAGATCCATTTCCAAGGCCTTCAGATCCCACTTGCAGATATCCTTGTACGCCATCAACCTTTACATTTTTATATAGTACCCTCCAATTTTTGTAAGAAAAATATTGATCCCCATACAGTACTTCCAGAAAGTTGGCAGGCTAGGTCAGTTTAAGTATTTGACTGTTGGGTCAGAGGTTGGGAGTTCTATTGCTCAAGGTGCCTCCTGGGAGAAGAGCCAGCCCGTGTGGCCTTGGGCCAGCTGCACAGCCCCAGGGCACCCCCAGAAGAAGGGAATGGTGAACCACCTCTGAGTATTCTCTATCCGGAAAATGCTGAAAAGAGTCACCATAAGGCAAAATTGACTTAATGGCAAATGATTGTCATTATATACTTCTGGAGACTGCTCACCTCTAATACGGCTGCTTGTGTTTTGGAGATTCCACCCGGAGGGCCTTGGCCATAGGGGTCCTCAGGATATTGTCAACATTTCAGACATCACCATGAAAGCACTGTACTTGCCAGAGCCCTGGTAATTCTGCACTTCCAGAGAAACCGCACTGACAAGATACTGATGGATGTTCACATATGACTGGTAGGCTGCATTTAGCTTGATGGATCACACATGGTACATTAAGCTGATAGCCAGACTTGACTAGTGGGCTAGAGGGTCAGTGTAGGACTTGAGAGATATTATGAAGTTCACCAAGTTATGGTTGTTGTGGGTTTTTTGGCCTCTTTGGCCGTGTTCTGAAGGTTGTTTTTCCTAATGTTTTGCCAGTCTCTGTGGCCGGCATCTTCAGAGGACAGGGGTAGCCTGTCTTGGCTACTCCTGTCCTCTGAAGATGCCAGCCACAGAGACTGGCGAAACGTTAGGAAGAACAATCTTCAGAACACTGCCAAAGAGGCCGAAAAACCCACAACAACTATTTGATCCCAGATGTGAAAGCCTTCATGAAATTCACCAAGTTATCTTGGCCAGTTACTGTCTATCAGCTTAAATTATCTCTCAGCGTTCTCGGTCAAGTAAGAGGTAGGGAAGAGAATGACACAAACTCCAGGTGATCATTAGAGGTAATGTGGGATATGAATGTCATAAATTAAAAGTAACTCTGAGAGCTAAAATTGTTAACACAGGAGATTTAACAGAGAAACATTTGAAATTAGTTCTCTCTGGCAATACGGAGAAACAACTAGCAAGGCAGGGGGACTTTAATCATCATCATCACCATCATCATCATTACCATAATCATTTTAGAACTGCCGAATCTTCAATTCCAGTCCCTGTCAGAAAGGGACAAAGTGGGAATCAAACTCCCAACCTCTGGCTCTGGACCCAGATATCCAAACCATTGAGCTATTCAGCAGTTCAAAATTAGAACTGTTCCGTGCTATCTTTTTATGACATCTCTCTCCCATCCTCATGGGCACATGGTAGGAGTTTGAAAATAAACTGAATAAGCAGCTGATCTTTCTTCCTGAAGACCAAAATAAGGTTTTAATTATACACTGGATAACAGCTCTTTTCTGTACGCTGTTGCACAAATTACATTATGAGCTATCTTTGTTCTTCCTTTTCTTTTGGAAAGAAATCCTCTGAAGTTAAGAGAAAAAAGAGAACATGTGTTGTTCATCAACTTAGGTAATCAGGAATCCTCTGTCAGTTACTGTGCAATCCTGTACAAATCTACACAAACTACCCCCTTTGAGTTTAAAGGGGGTTCCCTCCATAGGTAGGCATAAGATCCCACTGATTTCTCCTTACTCATTTTAAAGTTATAGTACTTTTAGTGGGAGTGTAAGTATGTGCTTAAGTTGTTTTCTAAAGTGATTAGAATTTAAAACTCAGTCTTGTATATATTTACTGAGAAGGCAACTCAAGTTCAGTAAATCTCACTTCCTGATTTCTTTGGACCTTAAACCTACTTAGCATGGGAGAGATAAACATTTTCAATGTTGCCATCACCCAGGCTTTCACAAAAGTGAGGCATGAATATGTAGACATAGGTCGTGGGGTACATACTGTAGGTTACAGGGGCCCTTATGAATCATTTCACTGGATCAAGAAACTGAATAAGGGATCCAACTTCACCAACATTCGTGCTAAATATTCTAGCCACTCTTGTGGAAATTCTCTGTTTAGGTGTGGATGTTGAGAAGTTATTATATAGTTCCATTGGTTTGCTGGAATGATTCCTTCTAGGTGGAGAAATCTTTCCCTGGCCCACAATGGCTTTTTCCATTTATTTAAGCAGAGGAGAGCATGTTCTTTTACTCCAATGGGAAAGGGAGATTTTCTCATACTGTATAGTACTTGGCAGACATAATGGAAAACATCCACACTTCTGGGAATGGATTAATTTGGGAAACTGGGGGTGCTGGTAATTAATTAGTAATTTAAGTAATTCACTGCAACATGATGCAGTGATGGCAAACCTCTTCTACTGCTGTTAAAAGAGACTAAGGATGTGATCAGATGGCTAAAAAAATGAGAGCAATGGAAAAGGCCGCTTTAACAGGAGCAATCACCCTTAAAATCATGCTTCCTCCTGCCAGGGAATCATTCCAGCCCAGCCAAAGAAAGTAGAAAGAATCCCTCCAGCTGAACCCAAAAAAGTCCAGCTTTGACATTGGGGTTGAGATGAATCATATTTCCCTGTGCGTCATATGACCTCTGGAAAATAGATTGCACCAGACCGCTCCATAAGTGATCCAAATTGGAATCTATGTCCTTGTGTGATGGCATCCAAAGCTTATTCCTGGTGGATCAGTCTGTCAATGGCCAGAATCTTACTGATGTTTGTATAAGGTTTGCTTGACTCCCAGAGGCTAATTGATAAGATATCAGGGTATATCTCAGTTGGCTGCCTGGTTACATGTCCATTTGTTCAACAGAAAGGTACCCTCATACTTTAGCAATTAGCCATGGCAAGTTGTGCAAACACCTGTAGGATTCCAGCAGATGGCTACTGGTCAAGACTGCATTCAGATTGAGGGGAAAGGTATACTGTTGCGTATCAGGTGCTGGACAACAGTAATAATGGTAGAGGATTCTTGCTTCTATGTCCTGCTTGGAGGCTGGTACGATGTAGAGTTTTTCAACAGATTTAAGGAATTCCCAACATTTTAGACAGAAGGGATTTGGGAGGTCATCCAACCAATCCTCTTCTCCATGCAGAGATCTTTAATTCACTACATCTCTATTCAGCCTCTGCTGAAGAACTTCTGTCCACATCTCCTGTCTTTTGGAACCCCAAGAAGAATAACCATGTTAAATTTTACTCTGTTGCAGCAAAATGGATGCTCAAAGGTTAAGGTATCTGGCTGCAGAACCAAAAGTTGGGAGTTCAGTTCCCCACTGTGTCTCCTTCACAGGGGCTGGACTCAGAGTCCCTTCGAGCTCTGCAATTCTAATATGGTGATGATTTGAGAGTGTTGTGGCACCTTAGAGACAAACAAGTTTTATTTGGCATAGGCTTTGGTGGACTGCAACACACTTCTTCAGATTTACAGAGTATACCTTCAGAAGACAAACATTTATGCAAAAGCAGTATGTGTGAAATGTAATAGAAATAAACACATTAGAAGTACATTCCACGTTTTCCAGCTTCTCCACACTTCTATCAAATGTCTGCCTCTAATCTTTGGGAAATTTCTCCAGATACTTAGCTCAAATTTAAGCTGCCTTTCTATTTCCACCCATTAATTCAACAGCTGCTCTCTGGACCAGCAAAGAACAGATCTGCTCCCTTTTTTTAAAACTACAGACATTTTAGGACTTTTGAATACATCCAGCATGGATCTTCTTGCTTTTTTCCTTCTTTGACCATCAATTTATTGCAATGGCTCTATTTAATATTGTAGTGTATTTTTCCCTAAGCAGAGTGCTGGTTTGTCTCTCAGATCCCACTTTATTGGCATTAGAACAGTCAGTTTCCAGCAACAACTGTGCTCAACATGTTTCAGAAATAGTTTTCCTGGCCCCACACACTGTCCAGAA